GGTCGTTTTGTTTGTTTGCCAGGTAAACATACAGTGACGTGCCACACGTGGAGACCCCTTCAGACGGGGACGCTCTCTGCACTGAGGCGCTTCTTTATCGGAGGTTCTCCGGAGCTCGAAGACCACAGCTACGTCAGAATACCGGGGACCTTCAAGGTAGGCTCAAACCTCGGTGGAAACTCGAGGAGATTAAGAGTAAATATGGACAATTTAAGTTCATCATTGCCTCGTTTCTTTACTACTTTTCTCTCAAAAATGCACAGATTCACCTGGATGTTATGTTTACATACATTAAATAGTTGGTTAGGACTGATCAGAATATGCTTCTGCTAATAGAAAGTGAAGGAAAAAAAGGTAGAAAACACAAAAGAGCTGCAGGTAGATGCAAAATAGGTGTTTCAAATTGTACTTTCATTATCTGATTTTGCCTTTTTTTAAATTCCAATTCATTCTTTTTTGTACAAAATAAAAACCAACGTACAATTAAGTTCAATTCAGTTTTATTTGTATAGCGCCAATTCATAACAGGAGCAGGTCTAGACCGAACTCCTTTTAACATTTACAAGACCAAACAGTACCACCAGACAATTGACTTGAACAGGGCAAGGAAAACTGCCTTTAAACAGCAGTAAACCTAGACAAGACCCTTCCGGCCTAGGTGGTGGTCCGTCGCATCGACCATGGTCAACAAATTTATCAATACTCTACACAACCTCACTCACTTAACTCCACTGTAAATAATGCTACAGTACAATCACTACCAAGTTAAACTGCATTGTATAATTACCTAAAAGTCTCTGAGTGGTATTTAAAGGTGCCCTGTTAGTTTTGTGGAACCGGTTTACGTCCGTGCTGTATCAATAATGATACTGAAGAATGCTTTTTGTTCTACTTCCAGGGAGAGAGGCTGAGTCGCTTTGGCTTCTGCACTGAAACCACAGGAAGCGTCACCTTCAATCTGCACTGCGTCCAGCAGGCCAGGTGAGTGCTGCGTGGATTCAACCCTGACCTGTTACACTCATTGTTATAGATTTATTCACTGGGTCTCCAGCAGCACAGGATGAAACTGCTTAGATGGTGTGTTTGTGATGTTTCAGGGCCTTCGTTGATGCCACCATGTTGAAGAAGAGGAGGCAGAAAGTGTTTGACCAGCTGGGAGGATTTAGTCAGCAGGGAGCTGTCTGCACCATCCTGGGTATTACAAGAATATTACAACATACAGCAATGTGGGATATTATACACACAATTACACACTTTTGGGCCTATTTTGTGGGAAATTCAGTTTTTTCTAATCCATTAACAGTTAGTTTTTAATTTACTATATATAGTTTTACCATTTTCATCATATATTGTTTGTTCATCAGTATTATTTCTCTCTGTCAGAGGCGTTCCAGAGGGCCAGGAGAAAGATGCAGGAGGCCCGAGAAAGTCTTCCCCGAGAAATCATTAACGCCACCTCCCAGATCGAATCGTCTGCATAGGACACCAGTGAAGGAGCGTCATTCTGTCAGATGCATGGAAACTTTCACTGCGTTATTACACAGGAATATGATGTTCTGTAACGAGTCAGAGAGAAAAACAGGGTCTGATTATTAAAGACAGCTAACACTGATAACAGAGGGGTAATAATGGAGGTAAATAAGGATTTATGTGGTAATGATTCAAGTTAATATGCCTTCTAAGAATGGTATCACCATGTATTCTCTGTACACTGCTTGTCTAAGATTTGAGTAAATGGTTATTATTAATTATAGACAGTGAGGATTGTGATGTAACAGAAAATAAAGTACTTTTTTAGATTTTAATTGTATATTTTCAATTAGTTATTTCAAAGAAATGTTAATAATATTTGCTGTAATATAAACTTTTATATACAGTGGTGTGAAAAAGCTAGACTTCTACAGTTGGTGTGAAAAAGTGTTTGCCCCTTCTCATTCTGTTCCTTTGCATGTTTGTCACACTTAGTGTTTCGGAACATCAAAACAATTTAAACAATAGGTCAAGACAACACAAGTAAACAAAATGCACTTTGTAAATGAAGGTGGTTTATTATTAAGGTGAAAAAAAAATCCAAAACCATCATCGGCCCTGTGTGAAAAAAGTGATTGCCCCCTACCTAATAACTGGTTTGGCCACCTTAGCAGAACAACTGAACCAAGCGTTTCGCGATAACGTTGCAATGGGCTTTTAGCGTCTGGAGAAATTTGCCCTCTCTTTGCCGAATTGTCCTAATTCAGTTACTTAGAGGGTTTTCGGCATGAACGGCTTTTTAAGGTCATTACACCAAATCATAGGATTCAGTTCAGACTTTGGCATAGGCCACTCCAATGTCTTTACTTTTGTTTTTCTTCAGCCTCTCGGGTTGGTTGGCTTGGCTGGTGTGTTTAGGTCATTGTCCTGCTTGCAGAACCAAGTTCGTTTCCAGCTTGATTACACGAACAGATGTCGACATTTCTCCTTCAGGATTCTTGGTAAGACAGCAGATTCATGTTCCTTTTCACGGCAGTTTCCAGGTCCTGAAGCAGCAAAACAGCCAGACCATCACACTACCACCACCTATTTTTATGTTGGCTATAATGTTCTTTTTATGAATGCAGTGTCCTTTCGCCAGATATACTTGGGACACACACTTACCAAGAGTTCCATTTTGCTCTCATCGGATCCCGGATGTTGTCCAAAAGTTTGGGGATCATCAAGATGTGATTGTGGGACAATTGAGACGACTTTGATTTTCATCTTTTGTCAGCAGGTGGTTTTCTTCCTTGGAAATCTGCCATGCAGGCCATTTTCGCCCAGTTCTTTTCCTGATGGTGGAGCCCATGAACGCTGACCCTTAACTGAGGGCAGTGGGGAGGCCTGCAGTTCTTTGGACGTTGTTGTGGGGTCTTTGTTGGATTTTGGATGAGTCGTCGCTGCGCTTTTGGGGTACATTTTGGGCGGCGGCACTCCTGGGAAGGTTCCACTGTTCCATGTCTCGCCATTTGTTGGTATAATGGGCTCTCATGTGGTTCGCGGATTCCAAGCTTTGGGAAATGGCTTTTACCTTCCAGACTGTAGGGATCTCAATTACTTTCTATTCTCATTGTTCCTGAATTTTCTTTGGATCTGGCTATGATGTGTGCTTTTAAGGATCTTCTGGTGGGACTTACTGTGTCAAGCAGCTCTATTTAGTGATGCCTTGATTGGAACGGTGTGGCATATCAGGCCTGGATTGGCTAGAAATTGACTCAGGTGTGGGGACAACCACAGTTATCGTATGTTTATACCAAAAGGGGGCATCATTTTTCACACAGGGCCAGATGGTTTTGGATTTTTTTTTACTTTTATAATAAACACTTCTTTACAAAATTGATTTTGTGTTTATTGGTGTTGTCTTGACTATTGTTTAATTTGGTTTGATGTTCCGAACACTAAGTGTGACAACATGCAAACAGAAAAGGGAAATGAGGAAGGGG